CGTCTGTGTGTAAAAGCTTCTGTGTGTAAAAGCGTCTGTGTGTAAAAGTGTCTGTGTGTAAAAGGGTCTGTGCGCAAAAGCGTCTGTGTGTAAAAGCTTCTGTGTGTAATGGAGTCTGTGTGTAAAATGGTCTGTGTGTAAAAGTGTCTGTGTGTAAAAGCGTCTGTCTGTGTGTAAAGGGGTCTGTGTGTAAAAGTGTCTGTGTGCAATGGAGTCTGTGTGTAAAAGCGTCTGTGTGTAAAGGAGTCTGTGTGTAAAAGCTTCTGTGTGTCAAATGGTCTGTGTGTAAAAGTGTCTGTGTGTAAAATGGTCTGTGTGTAAAAGTGTCTGTGTGTAAAAGCGTCTGTGTGTAAAAGCGTCTGTGTGTAAAAGCTTCTGTGTGTAAAAGCTTCTGTGTGTGAAAGCGTCTGTGTGTAAAAGCGTCTGTGTGTAAAAGTGTCTGTGTGTAAAAGCGTCTCTGTATAAGAGATCGCGTTTCTGCACATCCGAGGAATGATGGTACCGAGCTTTTTCGGCACTGTGTGTAGGAATTACCATTGTAGAATGAGATAACACATGTCATTCGCAGCATCATGGTACCGAGCCTCCTGTGCACTTTTGTTGCTCACATTATATTTCTCCATGTTTTCTTTCTATCTCCCTTTCCTTCTCTCTCTCTCTCTCTCTCCCCCTCTTTCTCTCTCTCTCTCTCTCTCACCCTCTCCCTCTCTCTCTCTCTCTCTCACCCTCTCCCTCTTTCTCTCTCTCCGTCTCCCTCTCTCTCTCTCTCTATCTATGTCTCTCTGTGGTTGCAAGACACGTGTCATCTGATGCCCTCTACCAAATATCCTCTTCTTAATCAATCTTACTTTTCACACCTTATCCCTCCAGAGCTCATAAAAATTCACCAACCATTCACCGACTATCTTTTACGACTACCATCCTCAGAGCTGCTTGAAAAACATCTTTTTCGCTCTCGGGCCAACCGTCGTCTAGTGAGTCGTGTTGCGTGTTTTTAGTGAATCGCAATGCCAGGGCTGTGTGAAGTGGTGACAACGTGCAAATTGCATGGCAGATGCGGGACATCGTGAGAGTGTCATTTTTTACGTGGCAGGGATGTGGCAGCGGCAGTATTTGGGACACTCTACACTGCACACTTTACACTCCACACTCTACACTCCACACTTGACACTCCACACTCCACACTCTACACTCCACGCTTTACACTCCGCACTTTACACTTTACACTTGAAACTTTACACTCCACAGTCCACGTTTACACTTTACACGTTAAACTCCTCACTTTACTCTTCACGCTCTACGCTTGACACTTTACACTCCACAGTCCACACTTTACACTCTACATTTGACACTCCACACTCTACACTTTACACTTGAGACTCCACACCCCACACACTTTACACTTTACACTCTACACTCTCCACTCCACAGTATACTTTACACTCCATTCTCTACTCTTTACACTCAACACTTTACTCTCTACGCTTTACACTCCCCACACTACACTCCACACTCTTCACTTTACACTTTACACTTCGCACTTTGCACTCCACACATTACACTTCAAACTACACACTCTACACTCCACACTTTTAACTTTACACGCCACCCTCTACACTGTACACTCTACACTCCACGGTCCACACTTCACGCTTTACACTTTACACGTTAAACTCCACACTCCGCACCTTACACTCCCCACTCCACACTTTAGCACTTTACACTCCCCGCTCTACACTTTAAACTCTGCACGCTGTGCACTTTACAATCACACTACACTTACACTCCACACTCCCCACTCTACACTTTAAACTCCACACTTTACACTGTACACTCCACACACTACACTTTACACTTTACAATTCGCACCTCAAACTTTACACTCCACACTCCACGCTCTACACTTTAACCTCCACACTTTACACCTTACTCTCCACACTCTACACTTTACACATTACACCCCAAACTCCACACTTCGCACTCTACACTGCACACCTTACACCGTACACTTTATGCTCCACACTCGACACTTTATGCTCCACACTCCACACTTTACACTTTACACTCCACACTTTACACTTTCACGCCGCACTCTACACTCCACACTTTACACTCAACACTTTACACTTCACACTTCGCTCCACACTTTTAACTTTACACGCCACCCTCTACACTGTACACTCTACACTCCACAGTCCACACTTCATCACACTTTACACGTTAAACTCCACACTCCACGCTCCACACTTTACACTGTACACTTGACACTTTATACTGCACATTCCACACTTTACACTCCACACTCTACACTTTACGCTTTACACTCCACACTCTACGCTCTACACTTTACACTTCACACTTTGGAATTTACAGCTTGCACTTTACACTCCACACTCCACACTTTACACTTTACAGTCCGCACTCCCTACTCGACACTTTACACTTTACACTCCGCATTTTGCACTTTACACATCTTTACACTCCACACTCTACACTTTAAACTCCACACTTTACACTTTACACTCCACACTTCGCACTCTACACTCCACATTCTAGACTTTACACTCCACACTGTGCTCTCTACACTTGACACTCCAGACTGTACACTCTACACTTACACTCTACACTTCACACTCCACACTTCACGCTTCACACTCCACACTTTACACGCAACACTTTAGTCTTCACACTTTACATCTGGCACTTTACACTTTACACTCCACAATCCCCAACTCACAGTCTACACACTACATGTCCCATTTAACACCACACTTTCTTCACACTCCGCGCTTTGCACCCCACCCCATTCTACATTCCACAGTCTGCAATGCACTTGTACAGTAACAGGGGGAACATGTACAAGACTGTTCATAAATAACTTGTTTCAAAACAGTGTTCTACGTGACTGCATTCGGGTTCGTGGGCTGCATCTTGGTTTGTTTCCTCATTTTAACTAACCGATTTGGTTTGTGGGTGGTGTATATTTATACTTGTAAAAGCATCAGCATGCATCAGCATCTACATTACCTAACTTTAATTTTCAATAGTGTATGGCAGCGCACCAAAATTTATCAAACATGTCTTTTCTTAATTTACTTCATACATATGTTCCACATTTTTCAGGTTTAAAAATCACATTTTTTCACATTGTTTTAAAAATCGCAGTTTCACATTTTTCACAAATTTAACTAAGGAGGGCTAATTATTTTAGGATTTTTCTTTGATCAGGTTTAGGATTTTTTTTTGGATGCCTGCTTCTCTGCTGTTCCTGCTTTTCCTGCTCTGCTTTTCTGCTTTCCTTCTTTTCCTGCTTCTCTGCTTCTCTGCTTTTCTGCTTTTTTGCTTTTCTGCTTCTCCTGCTTCTCTGCTTTTCTGCTTTTCTGCTTTTTTGCTTTTCTGCTTTTCCTGTTTCTTTGCTTCTCTGCTTTTCCTGCTTCTCTGCTTTTCTGCTGTTTTGCATTTCTGCTTTTCCTGTTTCTTTGCTTCTCTGCTTTTTTGCTTTTCTTCTTTTTTGCTTTTCCTGCTTCTCCGCTTTTCTGCTTCTCTCTGCTTTTCTTGCTTTTCTTGCTTTTCTTGCTTTTCTTGCTTTTCTCTTTTCTGCTTCTCTGCTCTTCTCTGCTTTTTTGCTTTTCCAGCGTCTTTGCCTTTCATGCTTGTTTGTCTCTGTGCCTTTCTACTTCTATTTTTCTATGCCATCATGCGTTTTTGCTTCTCTGCTTCTTCCTACTCCTTTGCTGCTCTGCTTCCTTTCTTTACAGTCTCTTTGCTTTTATGTTTCTTTCCTTTTATTCTCCAATCCCCCCTCCCGCTTTTTTAAAATTTAACCCCAAGCTCGTAAATACATTGGTTGGGGTTGTCATGATGATGTGGTGAACATGATGGTGTGAATGATAACCATGACCATCGTCCGCAGCTTGCATTTTTGCGAACTAACCTTCTCTTGAAAGCTTGGGGGTGACATGATGATGTAGTGAAGGTGGCCATGCCAAAATGTATCAAATCCCTTGGGGTTGGCATGATGATGTGGTAAACATGCTCACATGTAGAAAATCCCATGCAAAATGGAAGGTGAACATGCCAACATGTAGCAAATCCCATGCAAAATGGAAGGTGAACATGCCAAAATGCAGCCAATCCCATGCAAAATGGAAGGTGAACACGCCCACATGTAGCAAATCCCATGCAAAATGGAAGGTGAACCAATCCCATGCAAAATGGAAGGTGAACATGCCCAAATGTGGCCAATCCCATGCGAAATGGAAGGTGAACACGCCCACGTGTAGCAAATCCCATGCAAAATGTAAGGTGAACATGCCAAAATGTGGCACATACCATACAAAATGGAAGGTGAACACGTCCACATTTAGGAAATCCCATGCAAAATGGAATGTGAACATGCCCAAATGTGGCTAATACCATGCAAGATGACAAATTCAAGTTCCAAACCGTTGCAAACACTAGGCAAATGGTACCAGCCAAGAAATCCCAAAAAAAAACAAACCTGCTCAAAAAAAAAATCCTAAAACTATCTCACACCCTTTTATTCATCATTGTTTTAAGGCTTGTGGCTGGAAAGAGCCATCATAGTTTTATCATTTTGACGTCAAATTGCGCTTCGCACCACAACGCGTGCAAGTTTTCATTTTTCATCTCGGCAGATGGCTCCGCACCCGCCGCTTTAGCGAGCCTACTTTTTGACCCTCCGGAGCCACAGAGCATTTGGAAAAAAACAATGTTTCGCGACTTTTCTACCTTTTCGCGCACCTTGATCGTGTTTCTTCTGACTCTTTCTCTTCTCTGATATTCTTTCTTCTTCTCTTCTTCTGGCTGGCTGTTCCCACCTCTGCTTTTTCATCTGTCCATATTGTCGGAAGTTTGACTTCTAAACTTCTTCCTTTCGGTGAATAATATGTCTCTGTAGTGTCTCTTGTGTTTAATGTTGGTAACGGATTCCTTTATTGACATCATTTGATAAAGACATCTTGGCCTGGCCCTTTGAGGTGGGGACAGGCGTTGTCGCCCAATTTTGCAGTGCGCTTGAAAAATGGTGAGTCGCGCGCTCAAACAGTTCATCTGGCATCAGCCTGTTTGGTAGGATTTTGCAAAGGTGGCTTGATTTGCGGAGAGTTCGCTGCCAAGAGATGAGAATCTTCTGTGTGTGGGGGAGGGTTTTTGCTACATGTTACACTTGGCCAAGTCCATAGCAGCCGAGGCTCCGCTATGCCACAGGCAGCCAAAGTGATCGACAGATGTAATGGTTCTCAGTTCTACCCCTTGCAGCCTTGAACTTGGCACGTGCTGATTACTTGCCATGACCAAAACGAGGCTTGCCTTGGTTGGTGGGCAGAGAACAGAAGGGGAACAATATTTGGCAAAGGCCTTTGTTTCTTTGACCTCCGACTCGTTCAGCAGAAAAATGCAGTAGCCAACTTTACTTCGCAAGCGGGTGTTTGCTTGGGCAGGTGGGGTGGCTTTTGTTTGTTGCTGATTTGCAAGGGCATCTGGACAGTAAGGTAGTTGTTGTATACTAATTAGTTGCAATCAGTTGGAGGTTGAAATTGCTTGACGTTTTGGCAACCTGCAAGGGAAGTGCCTTGTAAGAGCCAAGTTCGGCCACATCTACGCTTCCCTCCTGATCAGATCTTTTACATTTTTGGGGGAGGCTGTGTATAGCACACCTCAGGAAAATAACTCTGCAAGATCTTGACCTGGGTCCCTACCCTTGGATATATTTGGCTTAATTCATGGTGGTCCGCTGTTTGGAAAATGAAATGATGGAACCCTGCAGCCTCCCATGTTGAGATCCAACCTCATCCAAGGGTTGTCACATCTGCTCGCAGGCCTTCGAGGAAAGCGAGGAAGTGGAACCACCATCTCCGGGCTGGACAGTCAAGATCCAAGTTGCATACCAGCGGATACCAGCAGGGTGAAAATCGGTCTTTGACACTTTGACAAGGTCGAATTATGGGCCAGGAATGTCCAGAACAATCAGGAGGCCTCGTCCTACTATTGGGCTCCAATTATTTCTTAATGCTTGCTCTTTTGTCAGTGATGTCCAGGTCAATGGCTGTCTCCATTTCCCAAATCCTGCGTGTCATGGGTCTTCAGGGCCACTTCTGCCTCAAACTTGTCATGTACCCTTCATTCGTCACTCGTCTTGTGGTGTCTGTGGCGTCGATTTGCCTTGATTCATCTTCATTGCACCTGGCAGCTTGCCCCTTGAGGGTTTCAATTCTTGACCGCCAGTGTGTGCCAGCAAAAGTCCCCACATCTCTGGGCACACTGCGTCGTATCGCTTTGTTTGTCTCCCCATGTTGGTGTGCTTGTTCAGGTGTTGGATTCATTTTCGTATTCGGTACTGTAATTACACTGTAATTGAATACATTGTGGGACTTTCCAGTTTTGAACTCCAAATGGCCAACCTATACAAAGCATGAATCTGAATTGGGGTCCACAGTGCCTATTGGTGGCACTTCAGGCATGATTTTCATGAAACAAACACAACTGTTGGAGGTCTGTGCTGGCGATTCTTGTGGCATGTAAGATGAAGCACTCCTGAATAATGGTTCGATTCATTTTGATCCATTGCATCCTGGGCAATGCTGTACACAAAAGATTCTTGAAGGCACCAGACACCAGGCACCAATGACTTCAAAACATCATAGAAATTCATAGAATGGAATTGAACGAAGAAGCCAGACAGATTGCACACGGCAACAATGATGCACGATATCTATGCGTAGCAGCGACTCCAATTGCCAGTGAAGACCTCCCCTGGGGCCAGGAAGTGCTTCTATTCGCTCGTGGGTCGCGCGATCGCGCCATTGAATGGCTGTACTCACCAAGGTACCAAACGAAACAGACGCAGTCAGGAATAAACGGGAATCAACAGGATGTTGAAGTCACTTAGATGCACTCAAGACATGGTGATTCTTCCATGGCATTCCACGGCCATGGAATTCGCATGGTGCAGGACAGCAAGTTTTTCAGTGAAATTTGGCGGGAAGCCGTGCTTAAACGGTAGTTGCTTGGGCCCTAGTTTGGCTGCGACATGTTATGGAAAAACTAGCTCTTCCAATACTGCGCAGGGCTTTGGCAATGTTTGTCACAGCAAACAGATACACAAACACATGGGGATGTATGTGAAATGATATATATATAATTATATATGCATTTATTTTTCATAATTATATATATATATATGCTAGCCCCCCTAAAACCTACCTTTTGTTATCTTGTAGCCAGTAGCTTGCACTCGAAACATGATGCCTTGTGAAAACCTGTGTCTTTTCAGCAGATATGGTACAGACAACTCGACATGTAATGCTTTCATACAGCAAGAAAATCAGACCTTTTACTAAATAGTAACAATCACTTAAAATACGTACGACAAGTAAAAGAATTTATACATTATAACCCATATTGGCAAAACATATCTATTAATTCAAAACGCAGAGCAATATTTACATCAATTAACACCTTATGAAGTCATTAATTGGTGTGAAAGATATCCCCAAAAACTATCTTATGCAAAACAACTTACCTTAATGCTCTTCAAACACTAAAAATATCTACTCACTCAATAGAAAGTAAAGTATGTCAACTTATAAAAGAAATATGGCAAGAAAATACCCAATTTAATACACAAGAAGAAAAGGCACTCTTTGATCAATTTTCTAGATATATATCTTTTAAAGATCACTTAGCTAAAATCGACAATCTATTACTACAAAACCAATTAAATATTTCTTATTGTTCAGTTTTTTAAAAGATATGGATAAAAAGATAGTGCAATGTCGCATTTTAATCAAGCAAAAGAATATTCAAAGCACAAAAATGTATCATAACATTATAAATAATCATCAATATAATCAAGGATTAATTTTTGATTGTTTATTTTCCCGAAAAGATCTACGTCTAAACCCATATATAGTAGAACCATTTTTAGCTCCTATATTAAGCCCCTCTTGTAAAGAGACAATATATAGAAAAAAATACTAACTTAAGAATATGCTATGCAAGAGAACTATATTATTAAAAAATACAATCTTGCCTAACAATTACTTAATCAAGCTAGCAAAAATATAATATAACATATATGGACTAATATATGAAAATACATCACTTGGCAGGATTTATAGCGCTTGTAAAATTAAAAGAATATAATATTGCACTACACCTTTTCCTTATATAGATGCTATTGCTACTCGTACATCACCAAATCAAATAAGTAGAAATTGCTATTTTATGTATATTTGTATGCAAAATATGCAAAATCCAAAATATCATTCACTGTCAAAAATTGTACAAAAAGCTTCACAATACTGTGCATTTTTTAAAATGGAATGATAGCAAATGAGTTACTCAAGAATTCAAAAATCTCTTTACAAAAAACACTTGATATTAATGATACAAAATTATATACAAATGGCTTAAACCAAACATTACAAGATGAAATTGAGTTTATCTCTTACCGAATAAAATATTAAAAACAATATAACCTTGCAGACGTTTTTTAGTAACTCAACTATTAAAAAATATCACAAAAGATAAAATTTTGTATATAACAATATTTTTGATATATGGACAAGAAAATCAAAACCTGCAAATTATGTTTTGTCAATGTGCTTTGAATCGTGATATTGGAATTGCACATGAACTATTTCAAAAAATGCCATTGCCTGATGAAATTCCACTTCAAAGTCATTATTTAACTCATGTACCATATATATATACATATGTGTGTGTTAACTGTTGTCTTACTGTTGAACCCAGGTACTTAGAGCAATTTTGTCACCAAAAGCGTTTGCAAACGTTTGCAAACGAGTCCAGGGGCCCAAGTACTTAGACTGGCTCAGGATTCAAGATTCAAGATCCAAGGTCATAAGTTATACTTAAGACATAGTCAAGTATTTCAACCTGATATCCTGGCTCAACGTCAAGGTAAATGATACTCTTAAGACTGCTCAACCTTTTACAATATGACATACTAGCTCAGCATTAGTATGAATTATACTTAAGACATAGTCTGAAAGGAAGAAGAACTAAGAGGTCCTAGGACCTCCTTGGAACCAAGAACCAAAAGCCAAGATTCCCCCAAAACTTTCTGTGCAATCTTGGTTCTTGGTTCTTGGTTCCAGTGAGGTCCTAGGACCTCCTAAGACTTCTTGATGCCAGAACCATCATGTCTCACGAGTTTGTCTACATCCACGGTTATACATATATATATGGTACGCCCCCTCGAAACTATGTCCAATTTTATTTTGAAAACGTTAAAAATATCACCCAAAATATGCCAAAAAACACCGTATATACCAGTAAATATAGTAAAACTGCAGTTTTTTTTTGGGGGGGGTACCATATATATATAATATACCATATATATATATAATGTTACAATATTCTATGTATATATACACAATGTTACCATATACTATATATATATGTAATACAAATTGTTTTTCCATAAAGATACCAGTAGTACCGCACAAGGCGGTGGCGGAAGTTTTAAAAATAGGAAACCTATAGGAGAGGTTGGTTGTTGTGAATCAGGGATGGCAGAGCGAAGCCACTGATGGACTGAAAGGTGCTTGAGGTCTCCTCTCTTTCTCTTTCTCTCTTTTTCTCTCTGTTTCTCTATCTTTCTCTGATTATCTACCTACCTACCGACTGATCTATCTGTCTACCTATCTGATCTATCTCCCTATCTATTTCTCTATCTACCTATCTATCTTGCTGTCTAGTTTTCTAGCTATTTGTCTATCTATCTATCTATCTATCTCTCTCTCTCTCTCTGTCTCTCTCTCTCTCTCTTTCATCTGTCTATCTGTCTAGCTGTCTACCTGTCTATCTGTCTATCTATCTATCTGTCTATCTGTCTACCTGTCTATCTGTGGTGCAGTGTCATTCAGTGTAATGTAATGTAGTGTAATGTAGTGTAGTGTAGTGGAAGGTCGTGTAGTGTAGTGTAATGTAGTGTAGTGTGGTGGAGTGTAGTGTAGTGTAGTGTAGTGTAATTTAGTGTAGTGGAGTGTAGTGGAGTGTAGTTGTGTAGTTGTAGTTGTAGTGTAGTGTAGTGTAGCGTACTGTAGTGAAGTGTAGTGGAAGGTAGTGTCGTGTAGTGTAATGTAGTGTAGTGTAGTGGA